ATCAAGCACAGTTCCACCCTGTCCTACAGGATCACTGTGAGTGGGCATCAAGTACAGTTCCACCCTGTCCTACAGGATCACTGTGAGTGGGGATCAGCTCACTAGCAGGAAAGTCAAGTTTGACTGTTTACGAAACTCCTGCTTGGATGTTATGCAGGCCCAGGGTTTCCAAGAGTCTGTTTACTTGAGAATTGGAAAGGATGGATTTGACATTGCCATCTAAAACTGTGGAGTCCTGGGGGCATCAAGCTTGTGCTTTGGCTGTTAAGTGTAAGGTCAGCAGTTCAAAACCACCAGCTGTTCCTTTGGAGAAAGATGAGGCTGTCTGCTCCCATAAGGAGTTACAGAAACACCCAAGAGGTAGCTCTCCCGGTCCCAGCAGGTTGCTGTGAGCCAGAGTTGACTCGATGGCAGTATGTTCCAGGCTGTACATACCACTGTACTCGTGTCATTCCTCCGCCTTTTGACAATAGGCGTTCTGCGTTGTTTCAGAGCTCGACCAGTCTATGGCTGACTTCAAAGGAGGAAGTTTCCCTTTGTCCCTCGTTTCAAGTTACAGCAGTTGTGGCAAAAAGAAAGGAGAGAATGGCGCGTGGAGAAAAGTGAGCACCAGTCCTCGCAAGAAGTCTGGTTGGTTCTTTTCACCCACCTGGAGTAAGCCGGACCTGAGTGATGAAGGTACGGGGCGGGAGCACGAGGAGGTGGGGCCCACCTGCCTGGGTTCCTGGTCTGGTTTCTGGATGCCAGTGTACTTGTACTTTCATTATTATGCATTCAACCAAGCAAAATTCTAAATCCTTCCATGCCTGCTCTCATGGAATAAAACAAAGTGCATCGGCTGACTTGGTTGCTGGAGTTGGCTCCAACTCACAGTGACCGTGTGTATAGCAGAGACAAATGTCGATCATCCCCGCACCCTCTCCACGATGACTGGTGTGTCTGAAGGAGCTCTGGTGGCTTGGTTGGGTGGATGTTGGAGTGTTGACTGTAAGATTGGCAGTTCAAGTCCATCAGCTTCTCGATGGGAGAAAGATGAGACTATCAGCCCCATGAACGATTTAAAGCCTCAAACCCCCTAGATCCGGGTCCATTGGAGTCAGAATTGACTCCATGATAGTGGGTTTTGAGTACAGAAAGTATCATTTCCAAAAATATCTAAGAAATATGACTCATATGCAAACTCTGAAATAAAATTTATTTTACGTGGCATCACTTATTACATCTTTGTAATAAAATTACATGAATTGCCTTTAGCTTATTTCTCTCCCTTTTGCATCTCCTTCAGAAGCCAATGTTCCCTTTTAAAAAGTATGAGTACGGCCTGTAAAAAAATTTAAGAACTCTGTAAAACATTCATTTTGCTTCCTTTTTCATGTAAGACCCAGTTGCAGTTGTTTAATTGTTTATTAGGATTTAAATTCCACGTGGGCCAAACTGCTTGCTGTTCTCTTGCTTTATTTATCTTGCCTGGAATCACAGTACACATTGAAAAATGTACTGAAAGGGTGAATTATCCACGAGGATGTTACTTCTTCTTAGCACCCTGCAGTTTGAACTACAGTGAGTGGCAAACGAGACTTTCGGGTTCACGGGATGGGGAGTAAGGAGAGTAATGTCCTGAGTCTCCTTCCAGCAAAGAAAGGACCACACATCTGCTTCCAGTGTGACTCCTCATCGTGTGGCTCAGGTTGAAGTCTGATCAACAATTATAGGAACCGGACCTCGTTTCTCTCAATGAAATCTACGTTTGCGTGAAAATGAAAAGACGTTTCCATGAAGCAAGCTCCTGTGAATTGTGGATTTCTGACATATCTGATTAATTTTAGATCTTCATGACCCGATAAAATTGGGTTGATGTTGTTCTTTGACAGTAGTGTTGAAAAACGTACCAAAACAGAAACCCCCTTGCACCCTATGCTAGTCATTATGCTGATAGAGTTTACTTGAGACACTGACCGTTTCTTGCCTAGAACAGAGTCAGCACGCTGGGTCCTGGGCTTATGGAGGACAGGGTGGGCACCTGTGCAACCGAGCCGCATCTGACAGCATGCTCGTTACTGCTTCCCGACAGCGACGGCAGAAAGATCAGCCACGAAATAATACTGACGTTTTCTCTGCCGATCTTTTCATGAGGACTTAGAACGTTCGTTTTCCCAGAAACACTCTTTAGAGAAACTCTACAAGAGTCATACACTTTTAGAAACCCTAGGACGCAAGTAACTGCTTAAATGAGCTTGTCAAATTTGGAGTGTTATAGAAAGTCATTTTTATTTTTTTAAAGTCTAAAGCAGTTTTTAACAGTATTTCTCAAAGCTTTCTTGCCAAAAGCCACAGTGGGAAATGCCATTTCCATCATAAGCCAGGCACAGAAGCCTAGTCATTTGCATGTATCAGGCTTGTATAATTGATGTAAGCCATCTATTTACTTCCTATGATGCGGCCTCCTGGTTGGGCTTTCTGCTTTTCCTGATGAGCTGTGGTCGGCAGTTTAAGAAACGTTGCTGTGGTCTATAGTTCTGTTGGTAACATCCCACGCCCCTTTGTGGGTTGTTCATATTTTCTATATAATGCAACGCTATCAACAGTTACCTTTCTACTGGAACAAGCACACACCCAAACTTGCCACCGAGTCCAGGCTTCTCCAGGGCCGGCCTCTGTGTTTCAGGGGAGAACTGCACCCCATATGATCAACAGTGGCCGTGAGCGTTGAGAAAGAGACATTTCTTCCACAGCACTGGGGCGACTAGTAGCCACCCATCTTTGGGTTCATACTGGAACTCAAGCTGTACCAGGCCATCTTAAATGTTCTCCGTGACAGGCCCCACAGATCAAAATCCACATCCGGCCTCCGTGGTCAGTGACCCCACAGGGCAAACAAAAGGAGAGAGAGAGAATAAGGCCATCATCCAAACGCACGTTAGTAAACTCCACTTTGGGAACTTTGAGAATAAGAGCCGAGTTGAAAGGGAGACTTGACGCGTGCAAAGAAGGCAGTTGATGTAAGCAGGGTTTAGGATTCCTGAACTGATCCCAGGATGGTCTCCAAACCACACCCCTGGTCATCCCTTCTGACTGAGGATGACCCTGAGGACGAAGTAGAACTCCCCCCTGGCATTTCCGAGGAAGCAGACTGGTCCCTGTCTCCTGCACAGCAGCCGGTGGGCTCAGACTGTCCACCTTTCCTTTAGCAGCAGAGTGCTTTATCACTGCACCACTACGGCTCCTTCAGGTGGTCCAAGCTGCGGCGAGTTCAGTAGCAGATCTAATTGAGAGCGTCCATTCTCTCCTGCCCTCCCCACTGCTTGTACAAGAGGCTGCGCTCAGGGCCGCTGCCTAGGAACCTCCTGGGTAGATGGATGTTAGCTCAGAGACAGCATCAAGGAGCTGCTGAGCTCGGTGGCTGTGCCAGCCACATTGGAGTTCAAGATACACGGGACCAAGATCCATTTTGCTGAGAGTGATTCCAGTTCTTTTTAAAACAGGTATAAAAAGTAAGACGATATCACAACCGAACTGTAACCGAAATGCCTCTCTATCAAGACAAAAGTAAGTTCCCCTTTGAGATTGAACTCATCGCAATCCGTAAACGCTAACCAACTAACTTAACCAAGTAACGTTAACCAAGTAACTTATTGTAAAATGTGTCTTCTCATTATTAGTTGGTGCAACTTCAAGCTGTTAATGTGATAGTTTTAGAGGCAGGAGGGGCCATTCAAATGCTCGTATACTTAAATAGCATCTGAAAATGGATCCTGAAGCTTACAATAACTGCCTGTTTTGTTTACAAGTCAGAAATAATTTTTTTTTATTCTTTAGGCAAGATTAATTCTTAAAGCTGTTGGTAAAAGACATGGAGCTTACAATAACTGCCTGTTTTGTTTACAAGTCAGAAATAAATTTTTTTTTATTCTTTAGGCAAGATTAATTCTTAAAGATGTTGGTAAAAGACATGGTAAAATCATGCATTCAAGATCTTTTTTTAAAAAAAGGAACAGGAATGTAGATGTATGTATGTACACACACACACACACACACACACACACACACACACACACACCTTTCCCAATACCCATATTGCTAGTAGAGCCAAGTGGAAATCCCTCTTTGCTCCAGTGGCTCCTGCTGCTCCTTTCAGCACAGCATTTGGGGTCTTCATCTGAACTCGACGAGGCAGAAGAACGGAGCGCGTGGAATGTGAGGCGCTGGAGTGGGTTTCTGTGAACTGAAACTGCCCCACTGCGGAGACTGAGTGGGGTGATCACCGAAACCCTGCTTTCTGAGCTCCCAGAGTTTAGGAGTAGGCTTTTGCATGCAATGGCACTTATGACATGCCTTAAAGCATATTTTAAAATTCTTCCCCACCCTAAACCAAGTCCTGAAGAGAGGTACCGTGTCTCTATTTCCATATTAGGCCTTGGATTGCTGTCATTTTAAAAAGAAAAAGAAAAAAACCTTTTCTGAACTTTGCAATTAGGTGTTTGGAGAATGATCTGTCGTTGGCGTTGAATCTGGACCAAAGGCTCTCTCTGGGCTCCGATGACGAAGCAGACCTCGTTAAGGAACTGCAGAGCATGTGCTCTAGCAAATCCGAGTCTGATATAAGCAAGGTGTGTTTCCGTCACCCCCAGTGGGCAGGGACAGCAAATGTGCCCATCCAGGGATTCACATCGTAACATGCTTCCTCAAAGAAAATTCTTCATGAGCAGCATGGTTAATGCTCAAAATGAACCCCTTCCTTTGCTGTGCCTAGCCATTTCTTCTGAAACACCCTTTGTACAGAAAGGCAGCCCAATTGGTAAAGCTTGTTTGACCAACTCCCAGCAAAGACCTGAGACTTACAGTGTATATGCAATTGGATTAGCACAAAACAAACACATTTGGGAGGCCTCCCCCTCTCCACTCCACAACCCCCAGCTTTCCTCTGAGCTCCCTGCCCCCACTTTGTTTTCCCAGCTTCGGGCACAGGGGCTCCTTTACCAGGAAGAGATCCTTCGAACAAGCATCACAGCAAACTGGGGTGTGTTAGAGGCAGAGCAGCAACCAGAGCTTTCTTTACACAGACAAAGAATTGGCTTGTGATAAATGCATACCACCACAGCCTGAGAGCTATGAAACCCGAGAGCCGTCACTCACAGCACTGACCCACAATCTCAAAGAAAGCATTAACTGCTCAAGTCCAACCTGTTTTGGCACTCTGATATGGGGCAAAGCAGAATTGACACTGATTTGGCCTTCCTGGAAATGCCCTGAAATCAGTATCCATTGGAAAGTAAGATGATGATTAAAATCTTGTATTCTCCCTCCAGCAAGAGATACTTATTTCATTTTTTCCCCCATAATGCTATTCTGATCTTCTTCTGACCATTTCCACGGAATCTTTCCCCTGGAGAGCATCTTCCGTGCGTTTGCTGTGAGTCCCGCATTCACAGCAAGGCTCTCGGTGGACAGGACAGGGGTGCAGGGTGTTCTGCTGGGCTACTCCTCAGGGATGGGAAACAGGATCAGGATGACAGGTTCCCCCAGTGACACTCAGTGGCTCCCAGCATAATCAGAAGCCTGACTTGACGTGTGTATTTTCCAGATTGCTGACACCAGGGATGATTTAAGGAGGTTTGATAGTTCCAGAAACCGCCCTGCACCCTCAGCAACTGTTACGAATCCAAGGATGCCAGTGTCACAAAAGGTAAGCGTCTCTTTTCCTCCCAAAATGAGGCCAAGAAAGACGACCGTGGAATCCACTTCCCAAGTCTTTTGATGAGAAGAATCACGGTGACTTCAAAACCCTAAGAATAAGTTCTGCTTACCCTTACCCTTAAGCATAAAAAACGTTCAGGAGCTAATCAAGATGGAAAAGATTGCTATTTGAAATATCGTGAAAGAAAGGCATTGTGAAAAGCATGCCTTTCTCTCTCTGTCCGATGCCTGACGTTTGATGGTACCACGGGGGCTGTCTGCAGAGAGCACCTCCGTTTGTTTTCACGGGAGCCGGCCCCAGCGAGGAGCCGTGGAAGTTCTGTCCCCTGGTGTTCCATTTTTAAATGTCTTGCTTTTCTTAGCGAGGAGACTGAAAATTGGCGTCCATTCCAGCAAACACGAGGCAGGATGAGTTGACAACATGACACGATTGGGCACAGAGAAAATCGTCGAGTGTTTGCACTTCTCTCCTGACTTGCCACAATACGCACTGTATTCCGGCAAGTGGCTGTCTTGGCACACAAGTCAAGTGGCCCGAACACAAGCCAGACTTCCCAGAGGCGTCATTAGCCTGCCGTGCGCTGCTGGGCCATTCCTGATCAGTTACTAAGTGGCAAGGGATGGCACAACAGCCCTCCTGAGGGGATGGAAGCCATAACATGAACTGTTACTCATGAATTATTTTGTGAAGATGCGGATTTTGGAGGGACAACTAGAACTATGTGGTGTGCTCACCAAGCCGTAGCCACCCTGTTCCCATCTGGTCCCCATCCATCCCCTCCCTTGATGGCTCACAAAGATCTGTGTGGGAAAGAGCAGAGAGCAGGCTCGACAAGGGGCACAGGGAGACTAATTAAATTATTCAGCCTTGTCTGGTCACGGGGTGGCCTGGCCTCCGCAGCCTCTCCTGCCTCATGCGTGTCTGGGTGATTACATGTGAACCGTTGTGTCCTGTGTGTGCGTGTGTGAAACGTTGTGTGCTGTGTGTGTTGGAGGAAGAAGATGGGTGTTTATAGATCTGTCATGCCTGATAAAAGGTAGGTGACAGGGTGACCTGTGCTGCCCCCTGCTATCTGTAAGCCCTTTGTCCATGACTGTCTTCCCACTAGGAGATTCCTGCAACTCCAGACGGCGTTGCTTTAAAAGTGACCCTGGTGGGGTGTGAGTTTCTTGTGGGGCTGCAATCCACATGGTCAGCAGTTTGAAACCACCAGCCGCTCTCAGGAGAAAGACAGGGCTTTCCACTCCCTAAACAGTTAGTCTTGGAAACCCACGTGTGTGGGGGGTGGGGGTGGGGGGCGCGTGTCGCAATGAGTCAACACTGACTCAATGGCCGTGAGTTTGGTTTGGGGGTTTTTACAAAAATGTCTGGTATGTTCCTAAGGTTATTACCAAAGGACTCTATCTATATTTCAATATGAAATTTATTAGGACAACAATGAATAAAAACAGGCATTCATTCAATACTGGCTCCCACCCTTCCTCCATGCACAGGGAAGGCACTTCCCTGATGACTAGAGGTTTTTCTCCAGACCAACAGCAGAGGGCGTCGTAGCATGCATTTGGCCACCTTCTGAAAGCGTGGTGGGCTCCATCCTTCCCTTTCCTGGGGAACATCGGAGGCTCCTCTCTGACTCAACGGGCGTTTCCTGGTTAGATGCCCAGTTTCTGCTGCTACCAGGAAATAACCCCTCCAGAGCTAAGAACTCGCTGGGTTTCCTGAAGTCAGTTTCTGGCTGTGTCACCAGAGAGGGGGTCTTGGAGCCCCCACTGTTGATTGGAAGGCAAGGCTGAGTGATTGGTCCACTTTATTTGCCCCAACATAACAAGAGTGGAATCTAGTTGAGTTAACCAGTTAAATGGCAGTGTAGCTAAGCTAAAAACACAGACTGTTTTTTCATTTTAAAATGATCAATACAGAAAAAAACAGACCAAAAGCCTCACTGTGCCATCAAGTTGGCCCCGACTGCCCCTGTGGCCGCTGAGACTGTACATCTTGATGGAGGCGGAAGCCACATCTGTCTCTCTCCGAGCAGCTGGTGGTTTCAAACTGCTGACCTGAGGGCTTGGACTCCAGTGCACTCCCAGGCTCGATAGAAAGAGTAGAGAATACTGTCGTTTCCTCGCATGTGTACAAACTAATCCCCCCCACAGCAAAACTAAGCATCTTTGCTGTTACAATGAAATCCACCTGAGGAATTTGTTTTCTAACAATTTTTTTGTTGAGAAAAATGGATAGCACCTTTGCCCGTGTAGCGTTTTCACTGGTACAATTAAACTACACCCGTACATCTGGTCTTGTGCAACTGTCAGCAACAACCAGGGGCATGTTCTCCATCCCCGTAAATAAAACTCGGCACTGGCTGAAAGGAAATACCCTTTTCTCCTTTTCCGCCACCCAATCGCCACTAAAATGCTGATCTCTATGCTGCTGCTGGCGGCACTCTGAGTTGGTTCTGTATACCTGCTGGCACTCTGAGTTGGTTCTGTATACAAAAGGACAAAGCACTGCCCAGCTAACCCTCCTTGTCACCGTTAAGCTTGAGCCCTCTGTCGCAGCCGTTGTGTCAGTCCATCGCATTGAGACTCTTCCTCTGTCAGGTTGCCCCTCTACTTTACCAAGCATGATGTCCTCCAGGGACTGGTCCCCCGATAGATCACACATCCAAAGTGGGTGTGACTAAGTCTCCTCATCCTCACTCCTAGGAAGCATTCTGGGTACACATCTTCCCAGATCTGGTGCCCTCGTCCTTCTAGCACCTCATAGTATTCTTCACGCACGCCATCATCCAAATGCCTCATTTCTTCGCCGGGCTTCCTCATTCCTCGTCCTGCTTCTGTAGGCGTGGAGGTCATAGAAAATACCCTGGCTTGTGACCAGAGCTTATTCGCTATACCATTGTTGCACCTGGGGAATTGTTTAAGTTCCACGGCCGGGATCCCACACCCCACTCCCGGGCGGGTCTGGCATAATGGTGTGGGGTTCATAATGGACATCAGAGTTTTAGAGCAGCTCCCTCTTGATTCTCATGGGAAACCAGGGCAGAGACACCTGCTTTAAAACTCAGCTCTTGTGTTGCCCTCCACCCTTCTTCTTCGCTCTCTGCCCCATTTCTTTGTTTGGAAATGCATGTTTTCAGAAGCTGACAACTCTTCCGGGTCTTACTGTGCACCTGTCACCTGGACCTGGGAGTTCCTTTGTACTGGTTCCCGCAGTGCGTCTCGGGATGCTTTTCCTTAGGAACCTGCCCTCTCTTCGCCACCTCTCACAGTCCTCTAGCTGGCTCATGCCATCCCCGCCACGTACTGTCTTCTTCCTCCTGCTTTGCAATCGAGAGAGCCGGGGCTACGCCATGCTCTTAACTTCAAGCACACATGCAGAACTGAAGGAATGACTGAGGGACACGTCCTCATTTACTGATAAGCTAGAACCTTTACTATACGGGCAGCCACACCGTTCTATACACATTGCCACTAGCTTTCGGAATCCAACAGGGATCGCATCTTTGACAGTAACCTCCTGTATTTAATACAAGGACCTTTAAGCACCTTCACTCTCTATGCCCAGATTCAGGTCCCTCATAGCTTTGGGGAAAACATCCAAACTCATGCGTGGCTGCTGGAATGGCCGGAGCATCGCCCTTGCATGCAGAGCAATGTAGGGATGCCCTCCTCTCGCTTGTTCCATGCTCGCCCTTCCAGGCTTGAGTTGCCACGGCCCTCATGAAGCTCACGTGCCCTTCCTTTTGGTCAGCACTCTTCCTCATCTGTCATCCTCCTGCTCTGGAGACTGACCCTCCCATCCCTGTTGGAATAGCCAGCCCGTGGCTGATTCCTGTGAGGCTGGCATCAGACAAGCCTCCACCTTCCCACCTTCTCCTCCGACACCAGCCTCCCACAGCACTCACCACATCTCTGCTGCATTCAGTGATTCCGTTCAGTGGCCACACAGAATTCACCGACAAGACTCACGAGAAAGTTAAGAGGTTACATTTCAGGACCAGAGATGTTGAGGAGAGGGTGCTTTGGTCCCGAGAGCCCGTTCTCTGCTGTGTCTGAAAGCAGGCCTCTCTCTGAACCTCAGGGCCTTGGCCAGGCCTCTGCCCTTCTTGGGCAGTGTTACAAAGCTCTTAGTATTGCCGATATAGGCCTGAAGCGTCCTCTCTTCCACCCTATGCCTCAACCCAAAGCCACGCAGCTCTAGCTCTGTGGGTCCTCTAGTTGAATACCAGAAGCTCATCTCTCGCTGGAAGCACTCACCTTTACCTTCTCCACAAGCCTGCCCACTGGTTGGCCTTAAGCTCTGGCTTTTGGTTCGGTTGCTTCTGTGGTCCCACGGTTTCCTGTCTCTGGACCAAGAAGGTTCCATGTGAAGGGATTTCAGGTTCCAAACGGCACATTCCAATCATAGCTCTTCTTTCTGGATGATAGTGTGATCCCTTTCCTGGTAATGAGATGGATCCTCTTATACCCAGCAGGACGGCGGCATTGACATACCCCACCCCAGTCTTATGGGTCCATGATTTTGCAATCCCCATTAGCTTGGTTAACAGTCACTCCCAGCGGAATCCATAATTCTGTAAGCATATCCTTCCACTTTCTCTGATCCAAACCTGTCAGGGGAAACACTTCATTTGGTGGGAGAATATTACCAAGCCTAGGGCTAGAAGAGCTACATCGAATGAGTCACTGCACCCACACACTCCTGTAGACGCTCTATTCCAACCCACTGAGTACAGAGCATTGTCTCAAATGCTTCCCTGGAGAAACTCGGTGCTTCTAATACAACGGCCCTCAGTTCTATAAGGACGCAATCGCCTTTCTAAATCAAGCATTTCCAGGGTAGCCCAGCCCCCTCCCCCAAGTGCAGGTACTCTAAATCCCATACTTATCCTAACTTTATTCTTTATGACATACTTGGTATTTGGGGAAAGTCAAAACAATGAAGCTTCTGGGCACAGGTATATCAGAATTACACAGCCCTTTTAAATGACTTATGTCTGAAGACCTGGCGCCAGTAGATTTCACTTAGGTGATTTAGGGATTTAATGAAGGTGTGTGCTGAGCTTTACGGAATAATCAGAATTTTAATAGGTGGAACTGTCTGGCTAATTGTTCTAATAGAGAGGTGATGGGAGCCCAATTTCAAAAGGAATCTCGTGACATGCTTAGGAATTTGGTTCTCACTCTGCAGTTAGTGGGGCCGGAAGCATCGCCTTCCTTTCTGCTTGTACTTGCTGTGCTGACGGTCGGGGGCCTCAAGTCGGTTCGGACTCAGAGCAATGCTGTGCACAACAAGCAACCCTGCCGAGGCCTGTGCCTCCTCAGTGGTCCCTCTGCTCCGCATCCTGGTGGCAGCCACGCTGTCAGTCCATCTCTTTGTTCTTTCTCTTTTCCGTGAACTCTCTGCTATTCCAAGCAGGATGCCTTTCCCCCAGAGCTTGTCCAAGCCTCACGTCCAAGGAGGATCCCGTTGGCACCTTTTCCAACACAGATGTGGTCATTCTTCTGGCAGCCTGTGGTGCGTTCACTAGTCTCCACCAACACCATATTTGAAACGGGTTGGTTTCCCCCTTGCTCTTCCTGATTCACTGTCCAGCATTTGCATGCATACGAGGCGATTGAAAATGTCGGGTCGGGGGTCGGGAAGACCGTCGTCCCCAAAGTGCTATCTTTCCTGTGTCATCCTTTCAAGAAGTCTTTTGTGGCAGATTTGCCCAATGCTGTTTGTGTTCCGACCCACACGGCCCTAAGTCTCTCCCTATTTTGCGAGCAGCACTGGATCGAGCAGGGGTCAAGAAGTCAGTCGTCGTCGAAAGTAACTGAGGCTCCAGCTTAGTGAGCGAGCCACACAAACCAGGAGTAAGCCAGGGCTTTAGAAACGAGTGAGATTGTGGAACTAAAAGTTTGGCTTTAGAAGATTTGAGTGTGAAGGGCAGCCTGGACATCGCGATGGACGATGTTCGTTACTGGTTGGAAATGCAGTTCTGAGACTCGGTACATAAAGGAGGGGCAGGGACCCAGCTTTGGGAGCTCTGTCACGAGAGACCATGATTGAGACACACCGTGTGGGCTGAGAGGGGAGCAGGCGATTGAGTCAGAGCGGGATGAACCGAGAAAGCCGAAAACAGCCCCACTGTGGAGGAGGAAGCCGAGCAAAGGAGCTGGAGCCGAGCGCCCGACGCGGTGTGCATATTAGAATCCTGCAACGGTAGTTTGAAGGAGAGAGAGTAACTGATGTCAACTGCTTCGAGACCCTCGGAGCAGCGCCCTCACTGCGTAGGCTTCCGGGCCTGGTTGCCGGCTTGCAGCACTCTATGCAATGCCCAGTGTTGAGAGGCCTGTTTTGTCTCAGCTTTGCCATCATCTGAACAAATTACTTTAACTTCCCAGCTCTGTTTCCGAGTGGCCAAAATGAGAGGCAGGGTCCAGATTCGGGTGGGAAAGTTCTGAAACACTTAGACAAAGAACTCAAGCTTACGGTTACCACATTTAAAAGATCTTGAGTTGCCCAATCATCGGATGTCTCAACAGGAGACATTTGAATGTGAGCCCACCAGGAGCAATGTTTCTCTTTGTGTCCCCTGCTGTGTGCCCTGCACCTGGAACAGCTAATGGTCAAATAATTATGATTGGTTGTCTAATCTGCATCTCACACATCTGAAAGTAGAAGGCAAAAACGGGTGAATTACTCATAGCAGCATAGATTATTTTTAGAACTGTCTATAAATATTTAGTTGGACTTGTGCTTTTTCATGATTTCCTTGAGCCTACGATTTTGTGAGATCCCTTGGTTGGTGCAAATGGATTTTACTCAACTACGAAAGGTTGGTGATTCGAATCTACCCAATAATACTCTGAAAGAAAGGGTTGGCATTTGGTTCCATTAAGATTATGCCAAGATAAACCTTATTGGGAAGGCGGGGAGGGGCTTCTGCTCTATAGCACATGCGGTTATCATGAGAGAGGGTCCACCTAACTACCATGGATTTAGGATTGTGTGAAGCTTCCGTGGGTGAGGACAGCTCCAGGCTCATTAGCAATCATTCCAGTGACTACCTTACCTGACACCAGGAAAGGCGTACTGAAATAAGTAATCCAAAGCCCATCTGTAGACAGTTAAGACATCCCCTCACAGAAGGCTCACAAAGGAAGGGACCAGCCAGCCAGGCTGCAGTATAGCACTGATGAAACACACAACATTCCTCTAGTTCTTTAATGCTTCTGCCCCATCACTATCATGACCCCAGTTCTACCTTCCAAATCTGGTTAGACCACAGCATGTACACTGGTACCAATAAGAGCTCTCGACACTCAGAATCCAGGACCGATAAACTCCCCAGGAACAGGAATGGGAGTAGTGATACCGTGAGAGTCGGGAGAAGGTGGTGAGAAAAAGGGGAGAAAGGGGGAACCAATCGCAATGATTGACATACAACCACCACCACTTCCGTCCAGGGGGACAAACAACAAAAATGTGGGCGAAGGGAGACAGCAGACAATGTAAATAAAAATAATCTATAATTATCAAGGGTTCACGAGAGTGGGAGGGTCCGGGGGTAGGGGGGTGGGAGAGGAGCTGATACCAAGGGCTCAAGTGAAAGAAAACGTTTTGGAAAGGATGATGGCAACATGTACAAATTGATCTATCGATTATTCTAAGAGCTATAAGAGCCCCCACTCAAATGATTTATTAAAAAAATATGGCGGTGAGACTACGAGAAATGAATCATTTCTCTTCATTCACATTTGTTCTTTCATTGGAAGCTGGGTTTAGGGAGAAACTCGTATGTCTTTGCTCGGAGAAAGGAAGGAGAAAGCACCCGGCCTGGTTTATGAGGGAGGAAGTTGGTAGCACCGCCAATGTGACAACCTTGTTCTGTGTCTCTTATCTTGCAGGAGGTCAGTCCTCTCAGCAGCCATCAAACTATGGAACGCAGCAACAGGACGCTAAAGACCGAGTTGGGCGTTTCAAGAGTTAAATCTTTTCTCCCTGTTCCTAGAAGTAAAATCACCCAGTGCTCCCAGAACACCAAACGAAGCAGCAGCAGCAGTAATACAAGGCAAATAGAAATCAATAACAACTCAAAAGACGAGATTTGGAACTTACGCAACAATGAACAAATAGAAAAACCTAACCAATAGGCCTGCCTACAATCTTCTCACGATCAACTTCTGTCTATGTCACACCAGGACCAAGGACAACACTGTAAATAGCTTCCAACACATCATTTTCTCTGTAATATAAGGTGTGATGCGGGACCACTATTCAATCTTTGTAAAGAATGTATTTATTGCCCACATTTTCTTCCCTCCTCCTTTTTTTAAGTCTGTAAAGTTGAACTCCGATACCATGGCGTGATGCCAGCTTCTCAAGTAGTTTTATAATGGAAAAATTATCATAGTTTTAGTTAAAATGCCCAGGGGTATCAAAACAGAATTGTCTCTGTACTGTATATCTATAGATATTTGTACATATATATGTATATATATTAAAGAAAATCCCTAAGTTGTATTGCAAACTACAAGTTATACAGTGTGTATATCATTGGCTTAGAATATTTGTACCATTTTAAATGGAGACCATAATTTGATGTTCACTTGGTGAGAAATAATTAGAATGGGGCAATAATAAATCATTACAATTTCTTTTCATTACAAGCCATATTAAGTATGTTGCCTGTTAAATTCTAGTTTTACATTCTAAATCTTCTAAAGGTTACATTGTTGTTTGGTTGCGTCATGTATATTTATGCTTATAACGTTGCATTCTAGCTCTTATAAAATATGAAATTATAATGCAATAAAAGTGTTATCTTTCTTATAAAAGTTTTGTACCTAAATGGATATAAAAATAACTACATTCCTAAATACTTCAATAAATTAATTTAGAATTAAATCTCTCTTCAGTTTTAGTTCTAGTGGCACAACTGATAATAAAAATGATCGTATTTTCTAGAACTCTTTCTTCAAAAATTACTGATAAAATCACTTTTACTTATACAACCCAGTTACTTTGACAAGAAATAAAATATTGACTTAGTGAAATAATCTTGTTGCTGTTTCAATTTATAGTTCTTCATTTATTCATACAATAGGTATTCATGTTCAATTCCAGGGACATTCATAAAACTCTTGTCCACGATGTTCATGTATATACATATATATATATATATATATATATATATATAATTTTTTTCTTAGCTGTTCACAGAAAGGCTCACCCTTGCAAAGGAATGTTAGGTAGTTGGTTTGAATAAAAATAAAACATTTAAGTTGAACTCCAGGGATTAGGTGCTCACTGAACCGAAGAGAAGTCCCCCCCCCTTTTTTACCATAAATACATTTTTAAAGGGTATGATTTTATACCAAGAATAATTTATGGCTTACAAGTATATCGAGCCACTTTTTGGCCCAAACAAGGTTTACACTTGGGTTGATACAGGATTAAACTTTACAAAACTGAGCATTCCCTGTCTGTACCAGTGTACATCCTCTGGTCTAGTCAGATTTGTTAGGTAGAACTGGGATCATGATGGGGGGTGGGGGTGGCTAGGAAGCATTAAAGAACTAGAGGAAAGTTGTATGTTTCATCATTGCTACACTACCCCCTGACTGGCTCGTCTGCTCCCCGCAACCATTCTCTAAGGGGGTGTCCAGTTGTCTACAGATGGACTTTGGGTCCCCAGCCCACACTGTCCTTCATTCTCAATGCTATGATATTTTTTCCCTTTGATGCCTGATACCAGAACAACCTTTAGTAGAGAAGAACGAGATCTAACGCATGTTGGCATTTTTCCTGAACTTTCCGTGAATCTTAAGAATATACAACTCCAGTCTTGTGCATAAGGAAATGCGCAGAAATTGGAGAGGCAAAGGGCAGAGGGTAGATAGGAGTGAGGAACTGTGAGAAAGGGCCCTTGCCCTCAACACAATGACTTGATTCAGCTGGCCTCAGATTCTGGGAACCTGGGTGGTATTTGATATCCATCAGTGGTTTCACAAGAAGACACTAATCTTGGGAACACAACGGAAGCCTCCAAAATCGTAGACAAACCTACCTTGAGTCAGGTGACTCGAGTGTGTTTTTCTCTTGCTTTCCTCACCTGCTTAAGTTACATGCAGTTTGCTCTCCTACTGGTCATAAGGTATTGTGCCTTATATTAGCAGGTTTTCTGAAAACACATATTAGTGTATTTAAGGATGAGAGGAGAGGAAAACAAGACCAAATTTACATAAAGCTGGGTTATTGTGACCTGTTTTGGATCTGTTTTTAGAAGCTATGGTTTGTTTCTAAACCAAAGTGTGTGCCTTAAATAATGGGCTGCCAGATTTCTGCAGGACTAAAGAGAACATTTGGATCAGAGGTATTTTAAATGCAGGTAGAGACCCATTCCTGGGCCGTGATAACAATTGAATGAGTCACAGCTGGCAATGTTTTTTATTGTGGTAAAATAGATAACAAAACCTTGGCCAATCCAACAGTTTTTGCATGCATACTTCTCTGACAACACAGTAATTATGCTGTGCAACACATATCTAGTGTCTCTATTGCCAAATGTTCCACCACCTGTATCTGTTACCACATTCGTCATCACCAGAAACTTGTACTCTGGCTTCCTAAGCAAAGACTTTATTTCCCTCTCCCACCTGGCTCTGCTAACCAATGATAAACTGTGGTCTGTATGCATGTGCCTCTCCTATTTAAACAACATGATCATGTGCAAGGTTGCTGAGTAGGAACTGCCTCGATGGCAGTAGCTTTTTTGTTTTGTTTTAATGTATCGCTGCTTTCGAGTCTCTTGAATTCAAACCTAGGAGAATTGCTAGACCACATGATGAATCATGATTGATTTTTTTTTCTGAAGAGCAACCAAACTGCCCCAATATCTGTACCATTTTGAATTCCTCTCAGCTGTGGATGAGGGTTCCAACTTCTCCACATCTTCAGCAACATTTATTTTTCATACTTTTTATCTTAGCCAGTGTCTTGGGCTGGGATCTCTACAGAAGCAAAACCAGTAAAGCATGCATATGTGTGTGTACAAAGAGAAAGTTATATCGGGAAAATGGCTCACAGATGTGTAAGCAGGCAAGTCCAAGACCAGGCAGGTCCCAAGTCTGTGTGTCAGGTGTTAGGATGGAGGCTTCTCCTGCGTTCCTGAGCTTCAGGGGCTGACCAGTCCAAGACCAGCAGGAAGATGGCAGGCTGGGGGCTGCAGACGCAAATGGATCTGAGGATGACAGATCAAATGACAGGCCGAAGATGATTCCCAGGATCGCCAGGCAGTCTGGTAAGCCATTGACTCAAGTCCAAAGCACCCGAGGGCAATGAGCAAGATGCAGAATCCAGACGCTGCAAAGGCAAGCAAGTTTACCAGGCTGCTGCTTCCACTGGAAGCAGCTCACACCCTCAAGTGGACGTCCTTTCATACGATTCCATCGGGGCTTTGACCTGAAGAAGGGTGTCGTGTCCTACCCTAACCTTATAACGTATTAACTACTCCCGTTATGGAGCTGATGATATTATGGCAGGTCCAATAAAGGGGCGTTACTAGGTTTTAACTATGAAACCAGAGAATTCTGGCCCAACCAAGTTGAAACAAAACTGTATCACAACCATCCTAGTGAGGGTGAATCAGAAATGTTAGAGCGCAGGCGAGTAAGAGTAAGAAGTGTTGGTGAATCCTTTGGTTCAGTGATGAAGATGTCTGACTATGTACTGAGTGGTGGTGTACAATAACCCCTTCTGTATATCATAGCAAAAGTATCTTTGAAAAGTCCATACCATAAATGAGACCTCGTTGGGGAAGGGAGTCATAGGGTCTGTAGTGAGAATGTGGTCTGCGTGTGTGTGTGTGTGTGTGTGTGTGTGTTGTGTGTGAATTTTTCAGTGCTACCGATTAGTCATGTGGCCTTGAGACAAGTTGCCTAATCTCGTGGATGATTACAGTAAAATATGCATGCCAGTCCTCCAGGAGGCTGAACCCGTGGCTTCCTTCATTCCCAGAGCGAGCAGCGGATCTTGATCCCAGAGCTTTCTAGTTGCATTCAAGCACCATTTCACTGCCCCTCTCAGTCCGAGCGGCTCTATGCTGTGCATCTGAGGGAAACCACAGGCAGCTACAATAACAATCAGATTTGGTCTAATCGGAACGATGAGCTCCATAGAACACATTAGCGACTTCCTTTTCCGTTTATTTTAGCTTGAAGGTTAGCCGCTCCAAAACAGCCGAGCACACTGTGCAGTTGTGTATGTAAAAGAGATGATGACAAGACAAGTCCTCATAAAACCTGATGAGTAATTGAAGAAAATGAACCGATTTTGATCGTCGGTTTTTCCTCACGGTTAGTCCACTACCCTTCCTCTAACCTCAGTAAGACATCAATTCAGAAAAATGATGACCTTTAATAGGAAAGTCACTCTCTGAAATGAGGATGGTTTCTGAATTCTTTTGCACCCCTTTGCAAGATCTTTTTTTTTTTTTTGCTTTCATTATTTTCCTCAGAGCATCCTACATGTGTCAAAGGAGCGAATGGCGCATAAATGTCCTCTGGCAGCTTCTGCTCGGCTGCGGACCTAGCTACGTAGAGACGGAGTGGGGGTTACAGAAACGCTCTGAGAAAGGTTATGCACAGTCACACCTGCCCGCTCTTTAGTGGTGATTGGGGACACCGATGAGCTTTGAGTTCTGGCCCCACATTTCCTCTAAACCAACTCCTTTAAAGCCAGGACAGAACCCCAGTACGCAACCACATCAGTCCTCGGCAGAATCGGATTTTGATGTGAAATGTGGAGAACATTTTGCATCGGAGCTCGAACAAAACATTGGAATCTGACTCAACACGTGATTCTACTAAACAAAATCAGTTCGTGTTTTGGTCACTCGGCGTTAATTGGCGTTGTTAATACACGTTGTTTAAAACTATTTCGGCTGTGCTCCAAGCATTTTGCTCTAATTTTTTTAGTTTCTGTGGCTTTTGTTCTGTTTTTAGATAAAAAAATGCGTCCTAAGAAAGAGTTTTTTGAAAAGAATCATCCTGATAAGGAATTGGTTAACCATGTTATCGATTTTGTTGATGATAATTGAGTAAACCCTTGTAGAAGACAGTTGAGGAAACGCCAACCGCAGACCACGTTAGACTGATTTTTGTTTAGAGAAAGCGAGCAGGTGCTGGTGCAAAAAGGCAAAGAAGGGAAAAGCTCCTGAGAAGCAGCGACCAGTTGATTTTCTGGAAGGGGATTGACTCCATCTCTCCTCTTCACGTCCGCGTCCACAGACCCACATCCTCATCCATCCCAAGGTACGGGCCATACTGCAGCTGTCAAAACTTTTTAATGTTGTGTTTCTTATTTACATTATATTTTTAAATCTGAACTTATTTACTTTGAAATTCCTGTGTACTGTTTTGTATAAAAAGGCAAGGTTAGGATAAAAACTTGGTGGTCGAGAACAGATTAATGTGTTTTCCATTACTTCTTATGGGAAAACTGATTTGGAACTCAACTACATCACATCTCAATGCTCCTTCGAGAACGGATTAGTGTCGAGGTCTGGGGTTCTACTGTACAAAGTTCCAACAGGGATTGATTTTCTAAATCAATAATCTCATTATACATATCACGGCTTTGTTAGCCCAGAAGTTTCTGGCATTATCTGTTTGCCCTCTTGAACTGGAAAGAGCACCCACATGTTCACGTCACTGTGGCTTAGAGCGAAATGCCTTCTCTGGTGACCCAATGTTGATTTGGGGCATTTTACTCTCTTTAGGAAATAAAAACAGACGAGCCCATTTCATTTGGTTTCCAGGCCTGTATGCCAATGGGTCCAAACAGTTACTGCTCTATTTTCTCCCGGACAAAGCTTTCAAGTAGTGTTTAAGTCCAAATAGAACCACATGTTCACAATATCAGAGCAAGAGCAGCACAAGTTGGTTTTCCAGACCAGTTGGTGGCTCAGACCTTTCTGACAATTCATTTGCTTGACCCTGAAATGGTCAAGGGGGGTCTTGTGAGTCATGGAAGAGGGACTCTTGTAACTCTGTGG